TGCTGCCAGACCGGTTTGGTCTCGCCTGTGTATGTCTGTGTTCGTTCGTCGCAGTTTCACTCCCGCCCAGGAGAACATTTGTGAGTCATTCTTCAGGAGTGAATGCAATTCATCTTGGAGCATCGGTGAGTTGTGAGTATGCCTGTATCGAAGTCCATAACCGCTCGGCGAGACTGGCGTAAAAATGTCGGCTCCTAACAGTACGTCCCAGGCTATTTCATGATACAGCTCGAAATGTGCCTCCCAACTGTCATTCCCGACTGAAACTCCGATAGGTGCTTCTCCTATTGCCGAAATTTCTTTTCCTTCTGCAGAGCGTAGTCTAGTAGCCAGTGTGGTAATTCTGGCCTAGCTGCATACCATGGGGAAAGCCTGTGGATTTAGTGGGGAACGGGATGCCCCCGAGTCCAAAAGAAACAGGTATGTGTGACCTTCTAGCTTGCCCCGTCAAAGCAGGTGGACGTACGTCACTTTTTAACCGAGCCAATATCCAAGAAGCAACACAATGGGGACAGCAATCCCTGCATGCCTGTTTGACTAATGGCTGGAGATTTCCCGCAGTCTTTATCACTTTCTCTCGGTTTTTGTAGTCGATGGAGAAAGTCGGAAGCCAAAAACTCTTCCTTCTCGAGGGATGTCAATTTGACAAGAACCTAACAGCAATCCTCCACATCTGAGGAAAGCGAGACACCCGCATAGGCCAAGGCGCCGAGTACCGATGGCACTCGCCTAGGAGGCTCGTAGAATTCAAGATCTGCCTTCGTAAAGAAAAGCCAGTCATCGAAATCAGTGCCGTCTTTGAAGGGAGAGAAGTCGACCGACCCTGCCACCAGTGCAGAAACTGGCTGTCTACTCTCTAGTCCCTTATCCTCAGACTTCAAGAGGAAGTAGGTTGCAGACGATTTGTTAGGCATTGCTATTAGGAAGGATGGGAATGATTTTAAGCACGGATTGAAAACCGGCCTACTTGAGCAAAGATCGGACAAATCTTAAAATGCCAAAGATCAGGTGATCTCTGTAGGAGCTGCCTGTCTACCCTCTGTTCCCTGATCCTCAGACCTCAAGTGACAGTTGGTTGCAGATGATTTATTAGGCATTTATTATTAGGAAGGATGGGAGGGGATTGCAGATGAAGTGAGTTTGAGATATCAATCGGGGGGAGGCTCCGCGCCGCCTTCACCACGTTATTCGCGTTCCCGATTGGTTCCCGCCTCTCACCTATTAAGGTACACTTTAACAAACTTGTATATAATACGTGCGTTGTAGCATTCTGAGACTTCTTAATCGATATAAGGGGTCAATAATTGCATTCTGAAGATGGCAGTACAATGGACCTGGCCATGGCCCGAAGGCCAGCCCATGTGTACAAGGCTCAGACGACTCCTAAAGTGATCGCTGAGCATCATGTAGCCGTATAAACAAAGTATTACATTTATGTACTTAGCCTCACACTCTACCTTCTTCCACATGTTAGGGAATTTCGGGGCGCACTTTTGAAGCATTTGAAATTAAAGTGGTTTTTGATTATAGCAATCTTTGTAATTATCGAAGTTCATGGCTGTTTTACATAGACATTATTTATTGCAGATTAAACCCTGATACGAAGTATATCCTTAAAGCACTCTCTATTTGGAAAATGTTAGATCAACTATCTTGAAGGTTGCATTCGTCTTACTGGCTTTTATTTGGTTGATTCCGCCTATTTATTGGTGCTTGTCTGGTGTTGTTGCACATGACGCAATGCTGTCACATTCCACCGCTATTTTACGGAGCCGTTTAGTGAGAACCATCTATTGTCCGTATCTGCATTTATCGTCCTCAGTTGCTCCACAAGTTCCTCTATGGTTCAACGTGGCACCAAAGAGAGCTCATCCGTACATGGAGCTAGCACGGTTAGATAAACCTATTGGAACATGGCTAGTCTCTCTTCCTAGCACCTGGAGCATAGCTTTTGCGGCCAATCCTGGGTGTTTGCCCGATTTTGGAATGCTGGCATTGTTTGGAGCTGGAGCTCTTCTGATGCGTGGTGCTGGGTGTACGGTTAACGATATCATTGATCGCGACATCGACCTTAATGTACTCAGAACCAGAGATCGTCCTGTTGCCAGAGGATCGGTTTCAGTATCTAACGCCGCTAAGTTTCTTGCTCTTCAGCTTCTCGGAGCTTTTGTGATTCTCCTCCAACTAAGTCCACAGACTGTATTTATTGGGTCCTGTTGTCTTGGTCCTGTCTTTGCCTACCCTCTGTTTAAGAGGTTTA